AAGAAAGAAAGAAAGAAAGAAAGAAAGAAAGAAAGAAAGAAAGAAAGAAAGAAAGAAAGAAAGAAAGAAAGAAAGAAAGAAAGAAAGAAAGAAAGAAAGAAAGAAAGAAAGAAAGAAAGAAAGAAAGAAAGAAAGAAAGAAAGAAAGAAAGAAAGAAAGAAAGAAAGAAAGAAAGAAAGAAAGAAAGAAAGAAAGAAAGAAAGAAAGAAAGAAAGAAAGAAAGAAAGAAAGAAAGAAAGAAAGAAAGAAAGAAAGAAAGAAAGAAAGAAAGAAAGAAAGAAAGAAAGAAAGAAAGAAAGAAAGAAAGAAAGAAAGAAAGAAAGAAAAAAAAAAGAAGGATCAACAATCCCTATTGTTCCCAAAATTTAAAAAAAAAAAATAGAGAAGGAGTCGAGATGAGAATCTAGGTTTTTTTTATTTGATTTAATATGGAATTCGACATAACATTAATTATTATTACGATAATCTGATTTATTTTTATTATTAAGGAACACCTCATGAATACATGGCTTACGTTGCGAAACCTATCTGTGCCCACTGTCAAGGAGGATCATATCCCAAATTTATCAGTTCCCACTGTCAAGGAGGATCATATTCTAAACTTATCAGTCCCCACTGTAAAGGAGGATCATATTCCAAACTTAGCCATGCCCACTGTCAAAGAAGTATCAGAAATCGTACCTCATAAACCAAGCCCCCCTATATCTCAATTAGATGTTTTTATCGAAAAGGAGTGTTCAACAAACTCCAAGTATATATCTACGTGTATCGATATCATCCAGAAATTAAATATTCTGAGCAATAACTTGAAAGTACCTTGCAACTTGAGCAGAAATTAAATATTCTGAGCAATTACTTGAAAGTATCTTGCAACTTGAGCATTTTGGATTATTGGCATTCGAAACGAGATACCGAACCAGAGTTATTCAAATTAGCCAAGGTAGTATTAGCAGCCCCGGCAGCACATGTTTACCTTAAAAGAACGTTGACCGCTCTAGCCGTAGTTCTTAAGTCGCAATCAAAAAGAAACAAGGAAGCGTTGGACAATATTCTCATTGTGAAACTTAATAGAGATGTGTTGAATGAAATAACGAATTTTGAATAATAAATATAATTAATTTATATTTATTTTTTTAAAAAATTTTTTTTAAATTAATTAGAAATATTTTTAAAATTTATTTTATTGAAAACTTAATATTTTAATATCGATATTTATATAATCAATAGACTGCAAATTTTATGGGGATAAATATATAAGGATATTCCCTATTTATTTATTAATAAAGTTTGCCCATTCTTTAAACACATAATATTCTCCTAAAATATTACAAATTTTTATTTAAAAATTTTATATGTTAGTGTCAATGTGTTTTTTCCGGCAATGTTTTATTTTTACAACTTTTAAATAACTTTTTTTTTAAAATTTATAAATAAGATTTTACCGGAAATATATTTTATCATGTTTGGAATAACTATCTTATGAATTGTAGGTAATTTTGCTATTAACCTTTGAGTCATTTAAAGTTTATATAAAAAATATATGGAAAATCTAATATAAATTACATTAAATTTAAAAGTTCTTGGAAAAATTGTCTGAAATTGGTAGGTATTTCAAACATGGTGGAATACATTTCTGGTATTTAAATAACGATATTTAATAGTAAAAAAATATTCAAATTCGCCAAAATCAAACCTTTCTGTCACCTATGAGCAAAATCTCTAGGTTTGCATAATATTCTTTAAGATTCTCTTTTTTTGCAAATTGAGCCATTTAACACTCCTGCACAGCCTTAAATAAAACATTCAACACACTTGAATAGTGCTTACAAATTGAAACCTATTCGTTTCAGTTCAAATAATGTATTTCAAATAAAAACGAAACGATTTTTTTTAAACAGCCATAAGGCGGTATCCTCTAGAGCGCCATTTTTATTTTTTAGAAATTTAACATCAAAATCACGATTTTTGGATCAAAAAATAATAGGAAATATATTTTAACGATAATTAAATGGTGTCCAAGTTACTGTTCTAAATCTAAATAGAATTTAGAGATTAAAATAAAGATTTTATACTTCAAAAAGTCGGGTAGTAAGCTTGACTCGCGCTAAAGAGTTTCAACGGATTACCCAGAAAATCATTTTTGGACCTGGTAGATATAATCACGCCGATTCTTTCAGTGTAGCGCTCGCGCATCCATGGACATTTAGGGGGATCACAGAACTTAGACCTGATACTGCTCAATCTCCGTCTGAGTCAGATTAAAACGATTGGAATTATCACCAACTATAAAATGAGGAAAAATTGACCAATTATTATTCTGATCACTCCCCTCCCCCTACTTCTCTTTAAATCAAAAGGAAAATATATATAAACAAGAAAGAAAACAAAATTAAATAATAATTTATTAATATTTTAATTTTCTCATTTTTCAACAAACAAAAAAAGGAGAAAAAAAACACCCTATTTATTTCCTTTGTTTTTTTTTTATGTATTATTTTTATTTTTTCTAATTTTTTATTTAAAAATGTGTTTTTTTAAATATTTTTTTAAAAAATAGAAAATGGATAAAATTATTAAATAATACAATTAATTTTTTGACAATTTAATTAATTTTACAAAAAATTACTTAAATATTTTCTTAAATTATGATTAATTTTTTATTTTTAAATTAAAAGGCTTAATTTAAAAAAAAATCATACATAATATGTCTACCATTTTCCATTCCGATAATTTTAACGAACCTTCCAAATTACTCAAATTATCTAAATGTTCCGATGTTTCGGAATCACGTGATTCTACTAAAATTATAAAAATTCAAATGGACAAGAAAAATTTCTTAAAGGTAAAAATAAATAAAATAAAATTTAAACAGATGTTTGGAACTGAAACCTCCAAAAAATGAAAACTAAGAACTAGGAGACTCTTTTTAAAAAATAATTTTAAGAACTACTGAACCGCCGATTTGATAAATATTCTGAAACTGAATTACTTTCCTGGTTAACTTCCGAACTCTGGAAACACTCAAAAACATGTGGTCTTTTTTCCAAACAAGTCAGTCCTTTTTTTTTGTATATCCAATCTAGTCAGCCTACTGGTGCGTTTTCACCTTGTTTTTGAAGAAGGGCACGACAAAAAAAAGCGACAACGTATCTCGATTTCAATATTTTAATTCACATTCGTGGATTATCGAACATAGATTAATTTTTATCAAATTACATATTAATTTTTTAAAATAAAAAATAAACTAACCCTAAACCATCCGCCTGGGTTTTAGGTATTAAGACAGTGGCTATATTTTGTTGGCGAGGGAGTCAAAAAATATTTTGGGAGGGTAGATACTCCCTTGACCCCCTCTAAAAATGCTAAGGTCAAGTTCTGGGATCAGGCACACTAATTAATTTTTTTGCGAAAACAAATTTATTGTCAGAGATTCAATGTGTAGTCCTACTCTTATGTAATCATAGATACTTATAGCCCCCCCCCACTTTAGGCTAATGATATAACCCTCTCGAAAATTTTGGTCTTCACTCATCTCAAATTACCCCCCCCCCCCCCCCCCCCTTTAAAAAAATATCCTTATCCCCTCCGGTTGTACTCCTTAACATCCTATTACCAAATCAAAATTAGCGAAAAACATGTAATCCAAATCAAAACTACACCCCTGAACAATCCAATTTTAATGATGAGTTACACCTTTCCCTCCAATTTCTATTCGTATTTTTGTGTAATACCTCCCCACTAGTTGTAGTTCCTCCACTTTTTAATTTCAACGAAAATTTTTAATTGGAAAGGGATTAGCCCCGACTTGGGCTTATATTCTCGCTTTTCAGCTGTTTAATATTTTTTGTACAACTTGCCTGCCGTGTTATATGTTTGTTCGGGCCTGTTAAATGTTACTAATGGCTTATTCCAAGTTTCCTTATGATTTTAACCCCTAGCGGCCAATTACGGTCTTGATTTTTTTTATTGTATAATCATGGGTAGAGCTTTGCTATTTGGTCAGGATTCTCCGCTCCAGTTTAAAATGTATAATAATAATCGAACTCGAAAATATTTCGCACAAATTGAAAGTTTGGCGTTTTGTCATATTTTTTTAATTTAAACAAAAAACGTAAAGCAGCCCTTGTTTAAATTATCCGTCTGCCTTTTATTAATTCATTAATTTCAAAATATTCCATTTTAAAAGATAAGTTTTTTTTTTGTTATAATGGAATTTTATTCGGTAAAAAAATTAAAAAACATGAACATTTATATACACTATTGAATTAAAAAAATATATTAAAAACAAAGAAATCAATATAAAAACATATAATTAAAAGAAGGGAAAGAAAAAATTTAAAAAAAAAAAAGAGGGATATCTAATTAGGTGTGGTATACACTATTTAAATTTACATATAATTGAATAACTAGGAATGGATTTTTGGTTCCCTCCCCCTTATTATTCTTATTAGAGTTATTAAATGGTAGAGTTTTTCCTATGCAAATTCAATATTTTAGACCGATTAATATTGCCTAAGCTTCAAAATTTAGTTAAGAGGTGCTCAAAACCTTTGTGCCATCAATGAGCAAAATTTTAAGGCTTTGCATAATATTCTTCTGGATAAAATATTGAGCTCGCCGTTTGTAAAAATCGGCCCTACAGTTTAACAACACTAATTCTTATTAGGATAACAAGGTCTTGTTTTCTTGCGAATAAAATTGAGTTTGAGTGAATAAAAAAGTATTGACAAAAGCGAACCAGCTGTTTTTTAAAATGGTTTCTAATGCAGGCGGTAAAATTTGCGCCATTTGAAATGCATCATTTACGTTTGCAACTTAGTCTCTCAGTTTGTGCGTACTATAGATATTAGCCAAAAAATAAGGTTATTAATTATTTTTGTGGAAAAATAAGGTTATTATTTTTGTGGAAAATAAATTAATCAAAATGGGCGTATTCATAAAATATATTGAGAAGTAAAAAAAAATAGAAATTCTTTAGCCAATTTAAAAAATTATCCAGTCAGTTTTATTAAAAAGTTATTCAAATTATACAATAAATTTCTCATTTTTAATTTTTTTAAAATATTATATAGTATATAATTTCTTTTTTAAATTCCAATATGGATTTGATGTGCAAATGCAGCAGGTATAAAATATTTACATTACACCATAAATAAAGGTTCAGATTTCTTTTCTTATAATAAAACAAGCATCTAAAATTAAATTACGGTATATTTTTAATAAAAAAAGTCATAAATTAATAATCTAATACTACATGGCTAATGTAATTATATAAGATTTTTAGACTGCTACACCCCAAAAATGTATAAAATATATCACCGTAATAGAAGAATTTGAAAGAAAAATTAGTAAAAGTTAATAAATTTTTAAAAATAAGTAAATAAATTTTTTTATAAAAATGTAATATAGCCAAAGGCCCGCTATAAGTTGGCCTAAAGAACTCTAATTTATGGCGCAAATTCTCGCCAAATATTGCCCCCCTCACTCTTTAGAAAGATGCTGGATACGTTTTTGAATTTATTACATATTTAAATTATATATAAAATAATTTTAAAAGAACTACTCACTAAAAAATATTATGGTTTAATAAACTGAATCAGGTAAAAAGTAATAAATAATGACCAATTTTATTAAATCTTTTTATAATTACTAACCCTATCCCATATTTGGAGACTCTTTTAACCTTAACCCTAAGCTCATCAAATATCATACGCCATCTTGCGAAATATATATTATCGATTTTTTTATCTTATATCTATATTTTGAATATAATTTTATTGTAGGATTTTGAATAGTGGAATATAATTAAATTTACTTTTACTTTATCATTAAATATATTCACGTATTTTTAATATCGTATATAATTTTTATTATTAGAAATTACAAAATAAATCATAAATTAATCATAAGAGTATATAAATAAATCATTTCCTGCATAATTTACAGCATAATAGCTTACTATAAAAACTCGAAGGAACTGGAATCTATATTTTTTTTTAGTTCTATGTCATTTTCTTTAAAATTTTTAATTCTTTCATACCCATTTCAGGAAGGAATAAAATAAATGGTTATTTAACATAACCAAACCCTTCTAATATTTTAAAATTGACATTTTTCTAAAAATTATAATTTATATTTGCGTGGGTGGTATTGATATAAATTTGAGTTATCAAAAAAAATATCTCCCAATCATAATTTGGTAAGCAACATATTTCGCGTAACCATGATTTCCCTATGGGCGGGGTGGCACTATTAGGCGGTGTTTTCCGCCATAGTAGCTTAGCTTAAAATGATAGATAACAGGCAAATTCGCGATGGAGGAGGGTGGAGGGTGCCGAATGAGCCATTATATATATTTATCACGTAAAATATTAAACTTATATTATCTTCCCGGGATTAGGTGTTCCTTTTTCACGTTATATAATTATTTTTTTAAGTTTTCTCATAACTCTGCTTTAAATATAATTATGGGCCACAATGTATTTGCGTTTCAATTTGATATATATTTTGCAGAGACCCGCGGATCCTAAAACCCGACCAGGGTACACGAGCTGGAAACGTATTTAATTTTTTTAAATTATCCTGGCCGGGCCTAATTTTTTTTCTTTAGATATACCCGGGCTGGGCCTTATATTTTAAAATCAAATATTTTAAGTCATCCTCTATAAATATTATATATTTTTAAAAAAAATTCGGTTCGGGCCGTGCAAATGCTACTTCTACGGGTCTCTGTTATTTTTATATAAAATTTGGATGCCTTAAAAAAAATAAATCTAAAAAATTAATATTAGAAACTTGTGTTATAACAAATTTAAGATTATATTTTAAATTACCGAATTATATTTATATTACAAATTCAGGCTTGCATCAAATTAACGATTTTTCATAATATGTCATTTCAATTGATGGATTGCGAAGCGTTTAAAATCCTATCCGATCCCATATGCAACGCTTTAGACATATCCGTCGACAGTAAAAATATTACGGCGACATTCGAAAACGCTGCACAACAAACGCGCCAAATACTAATCAAAGAATTTAAAAATAAGCTTCTCAGCCTGAGGATAGATTTCGCGGCGCTTTGCGAACGAAGCGTGATGGTAATTCATGTTCAATTTATCGAGAATTCCAAAATAGTCGTAAGGACATTATCAGTGATAGTTATAAAAAATACCGAAATGGCGGTAAAGCTAAAAAATCAGATTGTCGAGATTTTAGAGAAATACGAAATTGACGTTTCCAAACTATATTCTTGCACCATTGACAAGGCATGGGCCATAGATTTATTATCACAGCGGGAAGGACATGAGGGAGATTGCAATAAAGCCATTTTAAACGATTTTGTGACTCGATATTGCAGCGATGTCGAGGGTGATACTTTCACCAAGCATGATTATATACTAAAATATCTATTCAGCGATTTAATGAAAATTTTTAAAGAAGTGATACCATGTACGAGATGTTGTGCGAACCCCTTCGAACTTGTATTAGAGGATGTGTTCGACAATTATAAACTAAAAATGCATAATATCAGGGCTTTTGTATTAAAGTTCCTAAAAAATGAAAAATTTAAACAATATTATAAATCCAAAGGCTTTGAGAGCCCGTTAATGAGTACAACTGCTAGCTGGCAGAGCATGTATGACATGCTAAATAACTTACTCGAACGTATTTGTTCATCTAAGGAATTACCGCTATATGAATATGGTGGAAGGTTTAAAATTTCAGAGACTCTAAGCACATTTATAAAAGAGTTTTTAATTGGGTTTAAACCTATACGGGAAAAGAACTTTCAGGATGATCAACTGACTCCAGGAGATTTTCTAAGGTATATGATAGAATGGAGAATGGAGCTATTAGAATTGTCTAGTAGTAGTAAATTAGTAAAAAATTTAATTACCAGTATAGAGCTTAGGACCAATGAGTTGTTACGCTATGATGATTTTATCGCGGCGATTTATTTAGATCCTCGATTCCATTTCGTTAATACTATATATATGAGTGCGGAAAATAGATTAAAAGCCCAGGTTTTCAATTATAAAAAAAATATTCTATAAAATCGCTTGCAAATTTTGTTGGCGTTTTGAGCGTTACACATGCCCACTCGAAAAGAAGATGCCGTTTTTAGGTCCTAGGTATAGTTGGTAATGGCTTAATGTCAGCTAATTCGGCTCAATCTTCAAGCGGCCCGGAGAAAATCCGTTAACATTAAGGCGTTTTAATTTGTAATGTTTTTTTTTTCAAATTTGAGCTGCTATATTTTAAAAAAAAACTTTGAAGCCAAAATGATAGTTTTTTAAGCTAAAAACTAGGTTTAGCCGGTTCAAATTGATTTAAAGGGCTAAAAATATTGTAACTGCCCAACTATAGTCCTAGGAAGGCAAACTAATAAAAACTAACCTTCAGACCACTCTGGGTTCTTTATAATGTATAAATAATCTCTTTAATATAACATTAAAATCAATTTTTTTTAAAGTTAATTTGGCATAAATTTGAAAAAATAACGTATATTTTTTTTAAATGAGACGTGCTACTAATTTTTAAAGTATGAAACTTTTGAAATAGTGCTAATTCCATTCTAGAATTTTTTTCAAATATATGACAACAGTCTTCATTTATAAAAATAAAATTGAAAGAAAAAAAATGGCAGTTTTCTTTTATCAATATTTCCGGTTTTTGGTAATAAGCTGGTTTTCAATAAAAATTTTTTGCATGATTTAATATGAGATTCAATATAAATATAATCTATATTATTATTAAGGAACACCTCATAAAGACCTGGCTTACGTTGCCAAACCTATCTGAGCCTACTGTCAAAGTTGAATTTATTCCAGAAGGTTTATCTCATAAATCAAGTCCTATGTCTAAATTAGATATATTTATCGAAAAAGAATGTTCAGCAAAATCCAAGGTTACATCTGCGTCTATCGATATCATCCAGAAATTAAATATTCTCATCAATAATTTAAGATTACCTTGCAATTTTAGCGTTTTGGATTATTGGTATTCGAAACAATATGAAGAACCGGAATTATTCAAATTAGCCAAGGTAGTATTAGCAACCCCGGCAGCCCATGTTTCTATTGAAAGAACATTGAGTGCTATAGATGTAGTTCTTAAACCACAATCAACAAGGATTAGCCAGGAATTATTGGATAATATTCTCCTTCTGAAACTTAATATAGATGTGATAGATAAAATAACGAATTTTGAATAAAAAAATTAACTTAATTTCTGTTTATTAAACTTAAATAAAGTTGTTTCAATCAGGGATGACCTATGTAAGCGTACCAGATACCTTCTTGGAAAGACCCCAGCCATGTTTTTGCAGATACAGGGGTCTCAAAATATGGGAAGGGGTCTATTACAAAAAATTATTGTGGGGTGGGAGGGGGCAAAGGTTTTTTTGCCTTAGGTTTCTGGAACTACCAAAACTTTAGGGATAAAAGCAAAGATATTATTTATCAATGTTATTTATTTATAATTAAATGAGCTTTATAAAAGCGAATCCTGGACATATAAGACACTGGTCATAAATACCCACGAACAAAAAGAAACCAGATAAAAATACCTCAATTTTAATAGATTTAAACTGCTTAAAAACGAGAATTAAATTTTTTTTATAATTTATTTTGCTAAGCTCTAAGTAACTGTTAGATTTTATCGAATCTAGTGGATTTCGTGTTTAATAAGATCAGGTCTAAACTAACCGCTAACGGGTCCACGAGCTCGGATCAGGCCTTAGCTTGTGAACCGCGTAGTTATGTAAAACTAAAATAAATGCTTAGGACTGCTGAGGTAGGCAGACCTAAATATCTTTTTAATTTTACCGAATTTAATGAGTTTATTAAAATTAAGTATTTCTCATAATCTACCTTTATGCTCAGATTAACCTTACAATTTAGCCAACATATAAATATTTCTCCAGTACTCCACATATATGCATGGCTTTTTATGTGTATAAACGCACTTCTAAATATTTTCTCTCAGTATGCCAAATTTTATCGGAATCATTTTGGTACAAAACTACCCCCTAATCAACATAATATACGATTTCGTCAGAAAATTTATTATTTTAACCATTCATTAAACATAAATAAATATCCATGCATATAGAAAAGTTTTAAATAAATATTTATATAAGTAATTCTAAAAATCTGGTTTGTTTTTGGCCAAGTTTTGTTTAGATAATTTTAAGAAATCATTGGGTTTTATTTTGATACGCTGCTGACAATTAGTTTAATTTTGGTTTAATATTTTAAAATATATGACATCCACATATTCATAATTTTTTTTATATATTTTATTAACTAGAAAAATTTTCAAATCAAATAATTACCTTATTCATATAATAAATTATTCGATTCGTAGGAAATACAAATAGCACCATTATTCGTATTTCTGTAGGCCTAATAATGAGTAATTATTCTTCGAATATTGATAAACAAAAAAGTATTCAGTTAAGACGGTTCAATTTCATATTATCAATTGAATTTTAAAAATATCGATTCACGCATAAATTAATGTAATCATCATAATAAATTATAAATAAATTATTTGAGAATATAGTTATTTATAGTATTTAAATGGTCCTTGTCATCAAATTATATATATATACAAATATAATATTTATAGCCAGGGTTAACTCGAGTAAATCAAGATTTAGGAATAAAGCAGTAAGGAACGAATTAAAAGCATTTTAAAAAAAAAGTAATACAATGGTAATAATAGGATTAAACAAAATGTTTGTATACAATTTTCGAGTGACGGAAAACATTTTACAAATAAGGAAAAGAATTTTTAAATACAAAATAAAATGAGGAAAACATGAAATTCAGATCTTTACATAAAAACAAAAATAAATTGAGGAACTTGTACTTAATTATCCCAAACAAATCTATTTTTTTCCCCCAATTTAACAAATATGTGCTTGTTATCGTGAACGCAAATTATAAAACAAGAACTAAAATAAATCGAGCGCCTAAAAAAACTTTAAAAATCGGCTAGCTTTGTTTTTTTTAAAATAGAACATCGTTGTCGGCAGAATCGTCCAGTATACTTTTGGGTTCATCTTTAGCACCCTTTTTAGTCGGTGATTTAGCGTAGGTCTTTCCCTGCCCCTTTCCATACTCCTCCATCCTTTCCTGTTGCAATGTCAGCTTCTCTTCCACTATAATTCGTTCTTTCTCCTTTTGGATCGCTTGCCTTTTCTTGGTAGCTTGAATTTTTTTGAGTCTTTTTAATTTGCGAAATAACATGAAAATAAACAATTAGAAAGAAATGTTTTGAGGGGAAAAAATACATTTGGAAATTAGAGATATTGAACTCTATCTCAAGCATTTCAAATTTTAGATAAATTGCACACCATGGTAGTATCTTTAAAAAAAAGGTGAGATTGCGGTATCAAGCCTTAAAATTGTAGGCTGGTTATTAACGATAAGCCTTTTTTGGTCATGATTGATGATCGAATAAATAGCATTGGGTTAAGCGTTAATTTGTGTTTATACAAAAAAGCTAATATGGTATTTCATTCATGTAGTTATGCTTTTTTTGGCTTAAGAAGTTTATGGTAATAATCTGTCATGATTAAAATAGCAACAACATCTAATCGTTAAGCAAGCATAATTCTCGAACAAAGGTTATATTTCTAAAATAAAATATCCCACAAATTGTACCTATAGAATTCTTCCCTTTCCATCTCGTCCAATTCTGTGACTATGTAATGCAATGTGGTTTCTACTTTGGGGATGACAACTATTTTTTTTTCGTGATTAACAAAAAATAATTCATAAAGTTAGATTGTAATATATTTTGTGGGCCATAGGATTTATTTTTAATAATTGCGACAATCATTTTAAACATAAAGAATTTTAAAAAAAAACATTAGTTTTTAAAATTTATCCAGCACTGATGCATTAACAATGTAAATGGAGAGAGAAGCCTTTACATTTTTTTCGGAAGTAGGCTTTTAAAAGGAGTAGGTGGGGAATGGGAAAAGACAGTCCGTACGTACGTAGGTTCCAGTGTATCCTTAAAAATTTATCCGTTCTTCATGATTCCAAAGGACTGTCTTAAAACCAAAATAAGACCAATTTTTAAATTATTAATTATCGCCAAAAGCTTTTTCTCATCAGTTATTAATTAGTATACTTTATTGATTTCCTTTATTAATGGATATAGAAGAGTATCAGGACCTGCACATGTACTATTTGCATTGCCCAGCTCGGATTTTTTTTTAAAAATTTTAAGACATTACATTTATTTTTAATAACTAATAAATATACGCCAGCCAGGGAATTTATTTTTAGGCTCAGCCCGGGTATATTTAAAAATTAAAATATGGCCCCTGTGTATCCGGGCTTAGGGTCGGCAGGTCTCTGATATTTATATACAAAATCTTTCCATATTAATCCAAGAGTTTTCTAGCAAGAATATATTATTGTGACCCTTTTTATCATATTCATTTTAAAAATTTGGATAAAATATATCGTTGCCTGATTATTATAATGTTCTAAATCCATTTTTTGAAAGCATTTTTTTTAAAAAAAGTATTTCTTGAATCATAAATAAGAGAACACACTGTAATAATGCAATTAGGGAATTATTCTAAATTACATTTCAACATTTTTATTATGCAGAACCTACTGATGAATTGATTTTTTGATAAAATATGCATTTTGCAAATCGTAGGGCGTGAATTCGATCATGTTTCTTGGACCTCTTTCAAATCGGATGAAACTTTGCATTATGATTATATATGAAGTGAAAGGAATTTAATTTTGCTATAATTCAATTAGTTCCGAAGATATGGCGTTTTTCTAATTCTGATGGACTGATAAAATAAAGATAATTCAAAAAATATAAATGATAGAGACCTATATTTGGTATTAATAAAAACGATAAGATTAATTTATTTAAAAAAATTGTTAAAATTCATTTTATTTAAAATCCAAAAAATAAATAGTGAAAAAAAAATTCCAATCCATCATATAATAATTTTTTAAACAAGCATATGATTGACATATTATTAAAAAATATATATTTATTCTTATAATTACAACAGGTATCATTAGATAGTCCTTGAATTTCTTTTCTTAAAAAATAATTTAATTTTTATTAAAAAGATCAGGTGTTTTTTTATTTCCGAAAAAGATAGAATTTAATATTTTAAATATTTGCTTGAATATAAAATTTTCTAAAAATTGGTATATATGTTTTTTAAATCAATATAAATTTATGTCGAAAAAATTAGTTATTTAATTCTTCATCTATAAAAAAAAAGAAGTCATTATAGATGGCAATGTGCTAATCTAAATTATTAAATTTTTTCTTAAAAATATAATTTTGATTTTGAAATAAAACATAATTATTTGGTCAATAATTTCCATTTTGTTGTGATTCTTAAAATGTTGGTAAATGTAAGAGTGTAAATAAACCCTGTTGCTGTTAAGGGATTTACGGTTCCTAAAATGTTATTGACAGATATAATTTATTTTCGCCAGGAGGAAAAATAAAGCTAGCTATTTCATTTTTATCTACAACCGCCAATCAACAAAAGATATACAAATACGTTGCAATTTTTTTTAGCTTTGCTCGCAATATCTTCGGAACTATTTGAGTTAGAGTTTAAAAAAATTAAATCGCATAGATGCTCATAATATATAATCACCATGCAAAGTTTCGTTCGATTTGAAAGAGGTCCATCAAAATAGCCCTTTTGTTTTGATCGATTTGTTGTAATATTCAGCTGAAGATATATACGAGAGACATACCATATTGCAATGCATTGACCCTACGATTAGTGAGTTTGATGCTGTTATCCAAGGCTATAAAGGAAGTTTGCAGGCTTGCGACGTCGATTAAAAGCTTCACGCAATGGGAATACACCTAAATCATGCCAAAGTATAAAAGGTTTGGTATATTCTAAAAATTTATGAGAAAATCAATCGGATTCAATTCTTAAAAGAATTCTATATTCTGTTTAATTCATTTTTGCATCATTTTCACCTACCTCCCCCCATCTCCATCTTCAACAATAACATTTTTTCTAAAAAAAATTGAAATGATATTGCGATGGTTGAATAAGGAACTCTCAAAATTTTACAATTATTGAAGAGGTCTTAAAACGAATTGATTATCAGGAACGAGGAAAAAAAGAGTAAATAATTATCGGCTTAAAAAAAACTCCATTTTTCTCGTAAATCAAAGATTAGTGCCATTGGTAGTTGATGTTAAAAGGATCGATTTAGCCAATTTTATAATAAGATCTTGGTTGAAAATAATATTATGAAATCCTCGAGATTTTGTTAACAGATTTCAAAATTTCTGCCATCTACGAGAAAAATGTCCAGGATTGTGTAATAATTTTTTGACCAAAATATTGGGTTAGCCGTTTTTAAAGAAATCGAACCGTTTAACATTAGCCATTTGGATTACTAATTACAATCCCTACATTTCTATATTTTTGTCGTAAATCAAAGATTAGTGCCATTGATAATTATTGTTAAAGGATCGATTTAGTCAAATTTTATAAGATCTTGGGCAATATAATATTACAAAATCCTAGATTTTGTTAATAGATGTCCAAGTTTCTGCCATCTACGAGAAAAATGTCCTGGCTTGCGTAATATTTCTTGACGAAAATATTGGATTAGCCGTTTTTAAAGAAATCGAACCGTTTAACAACACTAGCCATTTGGATTACTACTTACAATCCCTACATTTCTTTTTTCAATATCAGAATAATCGTATTAAATATAAATCTGCTACTATCTTGTTTTGTTATACCCCGTATTGGCACAATAAAATTCGTTACGAATTTTCTCGCCGAATTTTAAGAAATGAATATTATCATATGCGCGTGTCCAAGATGCATTTTCTAAAATAAGTAACTAATTTATGTTAAACGGCATCAATTCACAAATCCAGCGCGAGGAAGTCGTAGCTAATTTTGATGAGCTAAGACGGGTTATTAAATTCAGTTTTTTTCTAATATCTTACTTTTTTGAGCTTAGACATTTGTTGACCACCCCTAGCTAAACCCGCTAATTCGTAAGAGTCGCCTCCTTCTGATATCGCTTCGAATATCGGCAATTGGACACCTTAAAAAATATTTCGCTGTTAAATATTAGATCGATCAAATGTCGGTGACACTAAAAAAAATATTTCGCTACAAAATTTTTAGATCGATTAAATGTAGGTACTTTAAAGACGCGTTTGCTTATCTCTTTTTTTTATTGCCTAAAATTTTTAGATGGCTTATAGACTCCTCGCTCTCCTTCTACTTAAAAAATAAACAAATATTTTGTGTAAGGAAACCTGCCACGTTATCCTTTTTCTGAAAAACTTTTATGTGGGCCTTAGAGGAAAGCTTCTGCAAAACGACGTTATTGAAATCTCCGCTAATGAATCGCGCCTCGATCAGGGAAAACGCGGCGTTTTTCATCACTTCTCCCATCTCAGTTTTATTCTTTCATGTTATAATTTGGAAAAAAAGATATGATTATTAAATCTTATTAATTAAATCATCCCGTTCAAAAGTCGATTGGGGAAAGTTAATTTATATTTTGGAAAAATAATGTGAACTATTTGGCCATATAATATAATTTTATATAAATATTATTATCAGCTGATTTATGATAAGTCGGCAAAATTAAGCTTGGCCTAATTAGGCTTCTTGACGAATTATAAATCAGGCATCAGCCATTTCCAATTTCAACGTCATGTTCAAGTATAGATGTATACCTGTAAGTAGAATTTTATTGACCCTAACTATGCTGCATCAAAAAAAATTATTAGATACCTGCATGATGCCATGGATTTTTAAATTGGTGGTAGCTTACCTAGAAAAATTGTATTTATTGCTTATTATTATAAATAAATTACATTTATTTTAGGTTCTTTATAAAATTTATGGAAATGGCATTTTATTAATTTAATAATTCTTTTCGCAAATTAAACCAGCAATCTCTGATCAGAATTTGTAAAAAAAATATTTATATATTATTGATAAACATATTTTAAAGAAATTATTGTTAATCTAAGATTCATGACTTTTAATTTTGAAGATTGTAATTTAATTAATTTAGAAAACAGAAAATGCTCTATAAATATCAGACAAATATTCTGATATCTTATTATCTGGATGATAAAAATGTCATTTTTTTTTATAATGGGCAGAGATAAAAAAAATTAATTTTTAGGTACAAGAAAATCTAATTTGTCAAAATAAATTGGGGAGTGTAGGCCTATTCAAAAGAATTATTAACATTAGATTGTCAATCAAACTTATGAATAGCTAATTTTTCATCATTCCTACCCAATATTTTCTGACATTCACATAAAATTGATCTGATATTTAGATTTGTTTTTATTTATCGTAGCTTTGAACCAATCCCATAAAAAAGATCAATATTTTCTATCCAAAAAATTGTTATCTGTAAATGATAGGCAAAACAAATTCCCATGATCAAAGCAATATTTGGTGCATTATCATGAATGATTAGGCATCCCAAAAATCAATCATCTCATTTAAAATATGAGAAATGGTTTATTATCAAATGTGACATATATAAATATTTTTAAAACAAATAAATAATATCTCATTTTAAGTTATTTTTTTTTAAAAAAATAATATAATTAGATTTTTTTAAACATTTATAATTATAAACAAATTAAATTTTGGTTTATTTTTCATTATTATAAAATTATATATAAATTAAAAAATATTATATTTATATTTAATGGTAAAATAACCAGAGACTAAAATAATATCAGAATAGATCAGGTTTATTTTAAATATATCAGTTCAATTTTTTTAATTAGTAAATAATGACCCTAATTAATTTTTAAGATCATCACAGCTCTATTTGTATAAAATTTAATTCATTATTTTAGCTTAAAGTTGAAATGTGAAAGTGATAGCTTTAATTCATAAATTTTGGGTTTTACAATTTTTGTTGACATAGCATTAATCATTGTGCTTAGGCATTCAGTAATTATCATATATAAAACTTTTAACATTATTACTAATGTTAACTTTAGGTTATTCTTTATAAAATGAAGACAAATTAATAATTTTGATTAGTAAATAATTTAAATTTAGGAAATATTTTTATGGTATGTATAAATAATAAGGCTTCAGGATAAATGTTGGTTTAAGGTATTAAGAATAATATAAGCAGAATATTTATTCAATGATTGTTAATGTACAATATCAAAAACTATCCCACTTAATAAAGCAGGATGTAAAATCAATAATATTGTTGAAAGCTTTATAAAAATTAATACTTCTACTATCTTTTTTAAAATTTGACGGAATCGCATAGTCAAGGCATCAGATTTCTTCTTAAGTAAATTATAACCCTTTTGTCCAGCAGATAACCTCGCCTTCATCAGGGCCAAGGCCCTAAATGCAGGTATATTATCAATAAATACATATGTGATCTTTACATTCTGGATGGAAATATATCGATCCTATCTTTAGACATTTTAACAAAATTCTAGTTTAAAAAAATTTGACTTTGGTGCCAGATGATAAATTACTAATTAAACCCTTTACACATTTTTTAATAAAACATTTAATTTTATATTTCTTAACGCTGTTTTTTTTATTTGAAATGTCAATTAAACATCGTCTTGAAAAAGTTTTAAAAATTAAAAATAAAAATTTATACTAAGAATATATACTATATTAATAAATTTTATTATTCATTTATCTTTAAAACATATAAACAAAATATAAAAATAAAAAATGAATATATATATATATATATATTAAAAGTGAATGTATATTTTAAAAATATCGATGGCTCTAAAAAGACTTATAGTAAAAATGTTCCTAAAAAACAGGTATAATTATGTTTAAAAATTTCTAATTGGAGTTTTTGTTTAAGAAAAATTGATTCGCGTTTTTCGTTTGTTATGTTAAAAATTTTACGTGCTAAAATTTTTTTTAAAAAATATGTTGATTGTGAGAAATTGCCATTAGTTGAAATGACTATAGGTTTAAAAATAAAGTTATTTAGTATTGAGTATTTATTAATTTTTTTATTTTCCCCGCTAGTAAGAGGGTTTGAATTAATTGATGAGGGAATGGAAGAGACGCAGGTTGCGTCCCAAATTAGGGATTTCCCATTACACCATGGGGTGCGGGTTAAATCGTCAGGTCTGAGACCATCTTGTAAAGAGAGGTTTGTTGGTTCTAGGATGTTAGGTATTTTAGCCTTATTAAGAGCGTTATGGATAATTTTATTTATAGCTTTATGCCGGAGGTGGCGACCTTGGCTGCGGGAGCAGTTTAGGCCGTGTCTTGCGTTTGGTAGAACGGGTAGAATGCAAAGTTGGCAAGTGTGTGAATGTGTAAGCGAGCATCCAAGTCTAAATCCTATGGTAACTCTCAGTTGGTCATTGGTTAAGAGATTATCAAACGTTAGGCTTGGAAGTGCCTCGAGCCATTCATGCCCGGCGTATTTATCGTTTAGTTGAAGAAGTTGTATATCGCTGATATCGGAAGGGTTAAGACTATTTTGTAGTTTATTTATAAGGGATTCAAATATATAGAAATAAAACAAAAGAGTGACTCTAAAGGTAGACATGGTCTAACTTGCATTATAAAGCGTAGTTCATAAGAGAGCAATTATTTTAATAATCTTAAACAAATTAAGTTTGGGTAACTAACTATCCAAATCATTGATAATCCCCTTGGTTTGTGTATATCATATCTACTTTTAATATCTCTCGGTTCACTTCTAACCCAAACATTACGCCAATTATAATAGCTAAACGGGCAAAAACCTAAAAATATTAATACCTTTCAGATTTTTATTTCACCTTAATAGTTATTTCTTACTAATGGGCCTTTATATCTCCGAGGATATAATGACCCTCTTTTACAATCGACTCAAATTATCTATGTTTACTCTTAATATAATTATTGCCTTTTTATACATTATAATTATAATATATTACTAAAATATTTCTTATTTTGTATTATGATTTTATTTAGTTTATTAATTTATTTTTATAAGATTTCTATATATGTTATTATATTGCCTTGCCCTAAATACTAGTGTCGAGAGATATTTAGTAAAACTAAACTTTCATTTTCTGATGGTCGCTCTTGACTTAGGAATGATAGTAAAGACATAATTTTATTATTAAAATACAACAAAATAAATAAAAAATGAATATTACCATAAATAGTTATTTTTATTACAAAAATTATAGACTTTTTGTATAAATTTTTTTATAAACAAAACTAACTTTGATTTTTAATATATATACTATGCAAATATATTATAAACAAAAAATAAAACAAATTAATTTCTTTTTTATAAAAAGTAGTCAAAAGTTTAAAAAATAGTGGCTAATAACGGGCTACTTTTTTGATGGGTAGTGGTAGCGGTACCGCGCTACTATTAAAAATAGAGTTTAACAACTTTGCTAAATTTTTAAAAAAATTAATTACTTAAACAATTTATTAATCAGTTTGCAAATTGTTATTTATTAAGTAACACATATAGGGCGGCAGCTTTGTACCACGTCTTAAATATTTCTCCTATTAGTGTGGATAATTTATTCAATACATTATTATATTTTTTTTGGACCCTTTGACTCCTCTATTAGCCTTCTATACTTACTTATATCTTTATTTTTAGTTTTAAAAAAATTTATCGTAATAATTGTGCAACAAAAAAAACACACCGCAGAAAAGTTATCCAGGAAAAGACACCAGAGAAGAAGAAAAACTTGGCCGGGTAAATAGAATCCAAATTTTAGTTTTAAAAAAATGGAATATTTTAATACTTAGAAAAAGGGGGAAATTTTTTTATAAAAATATATAAGTTGTATGTATTCCATATCAAATCAACAGAAGATTCAACCCGATCCTTTAGATTTTTTTCTAAAATTTGTATGATGGTACATGGTAGTATATATAACAAAATAGTAAAAATAAAAAAATTTAATTCTCAACTCAGCCTAATTCATGAGATATGGTCATCTTTAGAAAGGCGGAAATTCCAAAATAAACTATTTTAAAAAGATCGGCAATAGTATTTCTAATTTGTAAAGAATTATTATGATTCAATTTTATTTGATTTCAAAAAAAATTTGATGAAATATGGCATATTTTTATCAGAATTCAATCAATGGAATAAGCTAGTAATTACTTGGGAATTATTTATTTTTGCTGAATACTAATGTTGTTAAACGGCTCGTTTTAAGCCGATTTTGAAAAAATGGCTAATTCAATATTTTAACCAGAAAAATATAATGCAAGTCTGAAGATTTTACTCGTGGAGAGGACATTGTCTTTTTTTTGGGGGGGGGGGGGGGGATTTTTAAACATTTTTACTAAATTTATTTAATATTTCATTTTAAATCTATATAAAAATAAAATATTATAGATCGTAAATATAAAAATATTTTTATAAGTTACTTTGTTGAGTATATAATCTAGATTTAAGATGCTTAAAAAAAATAATGATAAAATCTCAGAATAAGTAATTTAACTCTAGCATCTGATAATCTTGAATTGATACTATTATTTCCTTCTATGTAAAGGAAAAAGGAAAATCAATTTATAAAAAAGTAGAAGGTTGTTTGTAAAAAAATGGTTAAAACAACAATATAGGGGAAAAGCAAATAGAAAAGAAAGAATTAAACATTTTAGTTTATAAAATGGTATGAGGAGAGTAGAACTTAAGAAGATCAGAATGGAAATCTGACCAGAGACGTTTTAGACAGGGAGGCATATATAATTAATAATGAATTTTATTATCTAAATCTCAAAACACTGATGCAGGTATATCTTAGGATCCCCAAATTAAAGCCTAAGGGCCCGAGATGCTAAAATGTTGTGAGTATGGTCGTGGCAAAAAGTACGAATAGATATTCCTAGGGAATATTGGCATATTTTGTCATTATCCTGAGTCCTGTGAAGTTTAAAATAACCTTGTTGATATTAAAAGTGGATAAGGGAGGAGAGGATCAAAACAGGTGAAGTTTCATACAAGAAATTCTCTATTTTTCTCATGATAATAAGTTCCATAGTAGTAAGGAAGCCTGTAGAATATAGAAAACTTTATATGAGAGTGTTTCAACCAATGTATAGGTGAGGACTACCGTAATCAAAACTACATAGAAGGCAGTTATCGTTAATATTTTCTATTGAAATATTCATCTGAATATATATAAAGCAAAGCTGAGTTATCAAATATTAAACGCCAGATCAAGATTTTTTGACGGAATAGCATCTAAGATTATAAGATTTTAATTGAATGAGGCTAAGAAGACATGTCCATCAAGTTGCTGAGTCGAATAATAGTAATCAAAGAGCCTTGCAAACATCAGGTTATCCCAGTCTTTTTGTATGTATGAATCAAGAAGCTGACAGTTTGTATCGACGGGAAATAAATAAATACAAATATTAATGTAACGTCAAAATTAAAATATTTATTTTTCATCTCATCTCAGCCGTCATATTCTTAAGTCAATATCGGATATCATCATTAAATATAAAGTTTTAGGTAGAAATATCGATGTGGCATGTCAATAATTAGCATTACCTTTGCCTATATGCTGCATATTTTTTCGGGTTCTAAAAGTTATAAACAGGAACCAAATATTAAAAATGTGAGTGCAATCTTTGCTATCGCGAAACAAATATATTTTCTACTGGAGTCGAGTGGTTATTTGCTCCTTTCCGATATATTTATTCAGATATAATGATAGTTTAGAGTGACAAAATATTTTTAATATTCATATTTAATCTTCATAGTATAATACCTAATTTTGTTTTTTCCCTGTGGGAGTTTTTTTTTGTTAATAATTTTGTGTTAAAAAGAATGTAAAATATAAAATACAATGCTATGAAGGTGGTTAGAGCGGAGGGGAGGATTCTGAATTAAGAAGTTACATTAATGAGTACTTAAAAAGAAGCAATAAATATAAAAATATATTTGTATATTTTGTCTTAAAAGGAGGAATTCTTTGCTCTCCAATAATTTGATTCGGATTTTATGAGCCAAATTTTTTAAATTTAATGATGGTGTTAAGGGGAATATTGAATGTTTTCTATTTATTTACTTTTTCATTTCTTCTTAAATAATTAGTATAATCCCACATGAGAGATTTACCTTTAAAGCCATATTTAATGTTATTTTATCGAGATGAATTTATGATAAATAATCCTATAATGTCGATGTAAACGAAACGTTAAGTTATATTCATTAACTCGTTTTGGCACAAAGGAAGGTAACCTTGTCCCTTCTTCATCCACTATTCCTCGAAAAATGCTTACTATAGGTATCCTTCAATTCCTGATATGTGTGGGTATAAACTATATTCTAATTTGCAAAGTGAGAAGAATCTTGTTTTACAATAACAAAAATCATTTAAACTTACTTATTTCTTTTCACCCAAAAAATAATTAATACTCTCTTTAAAGTTTACGTTCATATGAAGCTATATTGTTCCTTCCTTGTTTCCAAGTCCATTTAGACACTGCCCTTGATATCTTTAGTCCTCTATTTCTAATAAAATACTAAGTTAGAACATATAATTTAAGACTGCATTATTTCACATATATACAGATATGTAACTCCTGAGACACCTGAAATTAAAAAAATAAATAATTTTTTATATGCAATGATATTTCATGGACATTATCGAATGAAAAATACATTAAAAAAACCAACAACGTATTAAGGTAATATAATTGCACAAGTATAATATACGTTTAAGACTCTTATATTTTTACTAGAAGATAGCCCGTTAAAAATGACGGGGAATGAGAATTTTCTTCTTACCTTTATGATAGTTGTTACCTCTTATTTGAAAATAATATCCGATTATTATTCTTTTAATCCCCCCCCTTCATGCCAGGTTTAATCCATTAAAACTAAGTGTAAATACTATTGTTTGGTAAAATTAAATTTAAAGCTTTTACTTGATAATACCAATATTATTTGATAAATATTACTGATCATTTATACCTAATATTTAATATTAAAAAAATCTCAGGCAAAGTACAAAGCCATAATAATTTTGAAAAATTCTTCCAAGCCCAGTGATTATAATATTTTTGGTAGTTGAGAACTGAAATAAAATATTTAAATAATCATACTGTTGAAAATACAATCAAAATCAGATTTTCATGGGCCTAGGTTTTTTGATCAGGCCGATCCCAGGCCTGCATAAAAAATATTTTAGGCCAATGTCTGACTCATAGTTAATAATAAAAAAATTCTCAAGCATTCTAGCTCATAATATTTTTGAAAAATTTTCCCCAAGCCCAGCCTAATATAATTTATAAAAAAAATTTCCCAAGCCTGGCCAACCCATAGTAATTTTCAAAATTTTTTCCCAACCCGGGAGATAGGTAAATCTCTCAAAACCATATCTATTTTTTATTCTATTTTAACCCAGCTCACTCTTACTTCAGACAAAAGCCAACCCATTAAGACTGAGATTGAATACTATTTTTATAAAATATATTTAAATTAGCTTATACCTGAGGGCCATATAAATATTCTGTGTTAAATATTACACCTATGCCTAATATTAAAAAAATTTACAAGCCACTTGGGAAAATTTTCTCAAAAAGACCATAATAATTTTGATAGTTGAGAACTGAAATAAAATATATAAAAAGTCACAATGCATTTAAAAATACAATCAGAATATGAAAGTTGCATGGGCCTTGGTATTTGATCAGGCCTGGCCATGTCTCCAAAAGAAATTTTCAGGCCAATTTCTAACCCATATTAAAAATTAAAAAATTTTCAGGATTCTAACCCAAGCTACTTCCAAGTCCATATTAATTGTGAAAAATATTTCCCAAACCCAGGAGAACCCAGAATAATTTATTTTTTTCTTTGGGTCCAGAAAAATAGGTGTGATATAGGGGTTTATAAGAATTAAATCTGTCTATGTATATATTTTTTTTGCCATTTATATTATTAGGAAAATTTTTCAAAATTAGGATCAAATGAAGGGGAAATATCTGATTTACCTATCGTTGTACTTGTTAGCTCCTGCCTAATATTTATATGAAAATCATGAATACATATTAAAGTACCATGCTAAAAATATGTTCATTATTCTAATTTAAATTTTAAACAAACCACCACCCTTACAAATGATTTATTACTTAGTTACAAAATATAAATTTAAATTTAAGACATTGTTATTAAATTACAATAGAAAAAATAAAAAGATATTCTAAGTTAACAAATAATAGGAGGTTAACTTTAATCATAGTCAAATTATATATAAGTTAAACAAAAAGTTATACATTTAATCAAAAAGGTTATAATAAGTTATGCAAAATATACATTCTACAATTAAATTATGAAGTTATGAGAAAAAACACAAAACTATGGAATGCATGTAGAAAGGCCAATTTCAGAAAAGATAAGAGAGATGCAAATATTTACTTATGCATAAAAATTACCTAATTAAGAGATATAAAGTTGTATAAAATTCAATGTGGAATGGATCCTTCTTAAGGGTTTTAACATAAAACTCTCATATGCAAGAATAAATTTTTAGATTATAAAATACAAATGAATAAAAATTTATTTTAAAAGACTTTTTAATTGTTGTACACATAAATTAAAATTACTAAATATATACTTTATTAACATATTTTATAAAAATAATGGAAAATTTTAGAATAACCCTAAATAAATATAAATTTTTAAATAACACCTCATAAGATAGGAAAATTTCTGATTCATCCCTCATCAAATAAAATATAAAATTCTGATTCCCCATATAATGGTTTAAATTTTAAATTATACATAAATTCAAGAATTAAAAAAGTATTTAAATAAATCTCGTACTCTTTGAATCGTATCTATTTGATTAATTTTGTCAGATTAAGAAAAAAAAATATTTTACCAGATTAAGAAAAAAAACATTTGCCGGGATTCGAACCAAGTCCAATAATCCAGTAAGCGAAGTTCTTGCCCGATTGGGCCAAAGGAACTTTTCAAAATTAACGATTTTTTGAATATATATTATAAAGTGGGACATGAAAAGTGTGACATGAGAGCGTAACGCTATTTTTGTGACAAGGTTTTTATATATATTATAGATAATGTTTCGGCTGTTAGTTCTAACCGTTTCCATAACGCCATTTTTCTCAAAGTTCCTTTTCTGGGAATGTTTCCTCACATGTATAATTGTTTAAAAGTGTTCTTAAATATAAATTCTTAAGAAGGTATTAATTTTAATTTAGAAACAAAACTGGAATAAAACATTTTAAATATATAATTTTATTGCGAAATTAATCGACAAATAGAATATTTAAATAAAATGTTTAAATAAATTTTTTTATTTGTTTATTTGTTTATTTGTTATCAATTTCTGTGCACATGATATTTAAAACTATATTATATATATCTGTTAATATAATTTTAAAAAAAAATCTATATATAATATCCATTATAGTTTAAATAACACCCATATTCATTTGAATTATAAGATCACAGTGCTTTTCAGATTATTTTATCCATTGTACCTGCCAATAAAGAAGGGGACGTTTCTCCTTTTACCAATAATGACGTAAAGAAATGAATGATCCGCTTTGAACTCTTCAGTGGTTTCAGGATTTACAGGAGTCTCTTGAGAGGGGGAATTAGCTCCTTCTATATCGAAACTTACACTAGCTTGTTGGACATAATAATTTAGGGCCAATTTATCGGCTACAGCATTTGAATATATCCTAGAAAAATCGGCTTCGCCTAAAAAATAATTTATTTTATTCTTTAGTTTCTTAATGATTTAAATTTCGAATCCTTTATAGTGAGGATATTAATATGCCCACACCACAAATATTAATTTAAAAAAAATATGATTTCGAAATGAATTTAACTTACAACAATAAATTATCACCTGGTGTAAATAGATTGCCCAGGCCAATGGCCTCAAAATCCGAGCTTAGTTGGTGGTGAGATGAAGCTTCGAACCTGGGTATTGAGATCCTAGCGTTCATAGGTTTTAGGGCAGCGATTAAGTCTATTAAGGTTTTCGTATCTAAGCGAGAGGTTTCGAAGGCCGTTAGACCGACGCTGCAATTAGGCAAGAATATATAACTTGCAAGGGTATTATTAAAATAAGGCAGTTCCAATATTCTGAGGGATAAATTTGGGATATAACCAATTTTAAACACACCGGTCTTTTCCATATAAGTTTGAGGTTTAAACGCTCCATCTACAGTTTTAAACTGACCTTGGATAACGGAATCAAATTGTACCTCCCATTTACACTTGAAAATTAAAATGGATCAGATTTTGTGTATTTATTTATCTTTTAAAATTAATCGTATATTTATTAATTCTCTTTCTTTTTTATATATATTTCATTTCATTAAATTTTATCTAATAGAAATAAGATAACTGAAAAGATAATGCAATAATTGATTAATTAAACTAATTGATATCAAAGAAAAGAGAATTCATCAAGATTAAATTATTTTATAAAATATAAAACTTTAAAATCAAGCGCACTGCTGATCAAAAATTTAGTGTCAGACGTAAGCAAGCCATCCGGAATATGGTGGGACATTTTACCATTTGTATCTTCACTCACTTTTTGATTTATTTTAGAGGTAGCCGCTACAGTGTCTGAAAATTCTATGTTGACCGCATCCAGGAAAAACATTGCTGTGTCCGACGTGTATTTCGTTAGCAGTCTTATCGAGTCATCGAAATAAAAAAATTTGGAAGATAAAAGTTCGTAATTTTTTTGGTTCATGACTTCGATGTAAATTATTAATAGCTTAACTTTATAGTGGCTTGTAATATTAGCCAAACCCAGTTTACATCTAATAGCGTTGGCCGTATGCCCATTGGCTCCTTCATGCAGTCCTAGGAGATCTACGATCATGGAATAAGGGGAAAACAAGAAGCCATCTCCGGGATTTTTTTTCAATAATTGCCTTTTATTTTGATTAATTTAGTTATGTATGATTAATTTAAACAAAAATGAATAAATTTAATGCAAAAGAATCATACAGTCTTCGTAAGAGTTCAAAATTGTTTATATTGTATTCATAAAAAATTATAGTTCTTTATAATAATAATATTATTTTAAGGAAAATGCCCTTCAATAAGTCGATTTTTAAAAAAACGGCCAACTCAATATTTTAGCCAGAAAAATATTACACTAAGCCACGAGGTTTTCCTAATAGATGTATAAACTTTTGTGCCATCCATGACCAAAATCTTCAGGCTCGCGTAAATATTTTTCTGGATATAATATTGATTTAGCCGTTTTTAAAAATCTGTGTGTAACAAAATAAATATTGATTTTGTTTTATTTACTTGTACATATCAATTGCGACTTTCCAATTAGCATTCACAACCTCGAATAATTTGGGGTCATTAACGTACTTGTACGTATAGCTTGCAACATGCCCAACTTTAAAAAAACAGAATTATACAAGAAATATTTTTATTTTCATGAGTTATTTGATATTCTTTTTTTTACCGAATAGTAAAAGGATTAAAAATTTGAAGATCATCTCTTTAGAAAGTTTTATTTTAAGAAAATATAATTGCTCGAATATTAATATTAATGTAGGAATATCATTAAATATGTCTATGAGAAGAAAGTAGGATTATTTATATATATAAACTATAATATGTAAATAACATTATTTGGCTTGAATAAATCTCTTCTATTTATTTCAAGACTAGATCTAAAACAAAAGGACCTGATAAGAAATTATAAACACACATTTGAATTCGAAAAAACAAAAGATTAATTTGAATTGGAATTTGAAACATAGATATTTTTCATCAAACTAGTTCCGGATCATTTAAAATTTAAATACGAATGTTATCCGTTTCCGCAATCATAAATTTTCCAGAATTTTGGCGAAATGTATAAAAAATCATGGAGATTTTTAAAATTTAGTTTTCTCTATTAAAAGACAACTATCGGTGTTCATGATGTCCTTTATATTATATTGTACGATTTTTAGCAAAAACTACATTTAGTGCTCCGTCGAAATCTAGCATTTTATCTGCCTAATTTATCATACTCGATAATTTTTGCCACCCTTTAGAAATAGGTTTTAATTTAGGCTGATTGAAAAAATTTTTTCACTACAACTTACCGATAATAGTTAATATATACGGATTTGACGACTATTTAAATCTAATTTAAATCAAGGTCTTGTTTTTAAAAAAATAATTCATGATTAAAAAAAATTATCTTAGTTATTTTTTTCAAAAATTATATTATTAGAATTAATTTCATGATTTCTCTTCATTTATCATAGTCTACCTTATTCCACTGTTTTATATTACCATAAATTATTATAAAATACAACAAAATGAGTAAAATACTTTAAAAAATAAATATGCCGGGCACAACATTCTTCGACAGTAGTAAGTTTCAAATTATATAAGTGTATTTGTCCCGAATTTGTAGAGATGTGGGGGGGGGGCACTTTATAAATTAGAAATCCCTCATTGACCGATGTGAATCTGATTCAACTTAACGCGGGCAAAGTAAAGTGAGTGGATTTAAAAATTATCATTAAAAATAAAATTTCGGATCTGATTCGCAAACTGGACAAAATTTTCAAAGTTGTTAAAGTAGAGCGCTATTTTTTTTAGTAACGATAGCTAATAGCGCGCTACTTATTTTCCAATTATTTAATTTTTTTTTAGCGCGATTCTTGAAAGTAGCTAGGTAGAATATAATGAATGTAACTATAAAACAAGAAAATTTAAATATGATTTATTTTGAAAATGAAATTTATATTTTCAATTTGTATTTTATACCTAATCTGGTGTAAATTATTTAAAAATTTCATCGCAAATGGATATCCAAACCGATGTAAGCGAGTCAAAACAATGATGATATTAATGAAATTGAAGGAATCCAGGGAAAATAACCCCCGGAAAAACACCGAAATTTTTTTTTCGAATTTACTTAAGACCTAATAATATAGGTATATTTGGATTATAGGTCTGGACAAATGTTAGTATTTTAGAGAAAAATATTATAAAAATATAATTTAAAAAGCTAAATTTTTTAGGCCCTAATTTATTATTTAAAGATTACTCATATACTATCCATAAAAAAATGCTTAAACAAGATAAAATGCTGATGTTCAAATTGGTACTGGGAAAATAAAAATACCCCAGTAAAATAACCCATGTATTCCTTATTTTCTTAAAAATTATTTGCTATAGTAATAAATACAATATCCATCCTTATTTACGATATTTAGTAGACTAAATTTGATTAAATTTTGTACTATATATGTTTATTTTATTGGTAAATCATGATTATGTATAAACAAATTTAATAATTTAGAATAATATGTATAGGCGATCCAAAGATATAAAGACCCTCAATATGTAACTAAAATTAGTAAAGCCATCCATCAAAGGAAATCCAATCCTAATTATATATTAAAGTAAAGAAATATGATTTGCGACAGGTATTATAACATGCTATGTAGATGACGGGTAATGCAATGGAGTTGACACAGAATAAGAAATCGGAGATTGTCAGAGTCTTGATATACAGATATATATTTCTTTTCGGTCTCGCTAAAGATCCAAATGGATTCTCTTGTCTCGAAGATAAATTTTTATTGACATTTGTATCGGGCGATTTATTAAATTCGATGAATTTAGCATTGTTGCTAGGTGGAGCTAATGTATCTGGATTCCTAATTTTTCGATTTTTGAATAGACACCAAAAATATATAAAATTTCTTATTAAACCTAGACCTATTTGTATTGACATGAGTATACCATAAGTTATATTTATCGAGTAGTTTATGTAAGAGAGATCAACAATCATCTATTTACCTAAGTTCGCAAAGGATTCACTACCCTTTTTTTCTAGAAATGGGTTATCTTCATATTTCGCCACTGAGTGCCAACTAGTAATGACTCATTGCTATTTTGCAGTAATGTTCAGAGATAAAATGATATTCATCGCGAGAAAAGGAGTAAGTTCCTTCAATCGATTAAGTTGATTATATCGCAATATCATTAAGCACAAAAAGTGAATAAAAATTTTTGCGCTACACATTAAGCAAAGGGCGAATTTTTAAAATTTTTATTATGTTTAGCAGAAATTAATATGAATTATCTTTGAAAAATAAAATGATTTAAAAAATCCCTTTAAGTTGATTAAATTTTTTACCAATATATTTACCTAGTGGATTCACACTTATATAATTGCATTTTTATTCAAGGCCGATATAAGTTCTGAAAAAAGTTTTTAAAACAAATATTAATTTTCCCTAGCACTTTAATAATGTAATTCATCAATTGTAAGGTAATGACAAAATTTACCAATTTTTTAAAAAATTTCATTATGGAATATTATAAGTTAAAAAAAAATTTTCTAAAGTGCGTATGCGAAGTGGCTGAATTTTGTCTTTTTTTTTGCTTCGTATTGGTATAATTCCATTTATCACAATTGTGACATTAATTTTTTAAATATACTAGTTTAAAATAAAGAGTATATTTATCATAATTAATAGTATATTAATATGGCAGACACTTTAAATATAATTCATATAAATTTAAAATATTTAACTTTTGGATGGCATTATTGTTGGCAATTCAAAAACGAAGACATGTTTGATCATAGTTAAACTAACTTAATAAATATAAAAAGATTTAACACTAGGCATTCCTATTATTCCTTGTTATCGTTGTTGGGTCTAGATCTTGGGTGCTCAGAATTACTTCTAAACTTTTCGTAACATGAAAATTAGATTTTGGTGCTAAAATGAAATTAATTTTAAAATATAACCACTTAAATTAGGCGAATCTAGGTCTTAATATGTTTTTTTTGAAGTTTAAAAAACTTGAAATGGGTAATAGATGAAGGCTAGTGGTAGTTCAACATAAATCAGCTGGTAAAAAAAATACCCTTTTGGTTACCTGTAATGAAATTTATGAAACCCTGAATTTTTTTTTTTAAAGTTTACATCAAATTTTAATATAAGTTGTTTATATGGTAAATCAATATGATGAGTGGTCAGCTGATCTGTTATTGATGCATATTTAAATGGAATTATCCTTCTAGATATCCGATATTTTGTTCAATGGATTAAATTGTTCAATGGACTAAATAAAATTATTTCGAAAATGAGGATATGTTAATTTATACTCCTGTCCTAAATTTGACTAATTTTAATTACTCATCATTTATCGGTGGTGAATGAGATTGAAACATTAGATCTTAGGAATTCACATCTCTCACGTTTTCTCATACTTATTTTTTCCTCACGTTGACACAATAAATAAATCACATTTTTTCTACATTTCATATGCTTCTTAATATAAAAATTAAGCAATGGTTTGCGCAAAAAAATAGGAAATTTTTAATTAAATTTTAAAATATTTTTAAACTGTGGCCTAAATATATTTTAAAAAATTTTAATTTTTGCAAAATGGAAACCTCAGAGAGTGTTTAAGGGCAATTAACTTTTGGATTGAGTTGTTTAGAAAAAATAAATATCGTATACAAAGATCAGAAATATAAAATTTCTGACCATCTCCTTGAGATAATAAAAATTGCACTTAAGGTTTACGATGATATAGTATATTATCATATTAAGAAGTATATGAGGGCCCGGGTAAAATGCAAAAATTAAATGTAGAATTTGGGATTTTAAATTATTTTTAATTTTTTTATCCTAAATCAAATGATTGAACTTAAATATTTTTAAAAATATTTGTTATATTGATATTTAAAATAAATTTTATTAAATATTTTTAAAGGTTTTTTAACAAAAACTTCAGATATATTGTCTGTTTGTAAAATTTATATAATAGAAATTTAATATCTATATTAGAGATCGGTTTGGTCTGAGCACAAATTGTGTAAAACACTGATTGAACCAATAGAAGTTTGGAAAAATTGTTCATGAGATTTCATAGGAGTAGCCGTCAAGTGCCACTGGGGAATAGGCTTATTTAGTACCATAACCACTCCTCTCACACCCCTAACTTCTATTCCATAAGAATGTTTACAATAGGTCACTATATACCAGAGTTGTTAAAGTAGCTCACTAATTAGCGCGCTAACTTTTTGGTAATATTTTTTTGTAATTATTTAATTTTTAGCGCGCTACTTTTTTTGAAAGTAGCGAAGTACGCTACTTCGCTACTTTCAAAAAATATAATGAAGGTAAGTATAAACATAAAAATTTAAATATAATATCATAATTAATTATATTATGATTTATTATTTAATTTTGAAATTGATATATAATTTCAATTTGTAATTTATATTTTCATTTGTATTATAAACCTAAATCACGTGTTAATAATTTAAAATGTCATCGCCTATTGATATCCAAATCGTTGAAAGTGATTCAGACAATGATATTAATGAAATGGAAGTTACTAAGGGAAGTAAATGTTCTTAATAGCTATAATACAAATTTCCCATTCCTTAGATTTGAAAATTTTTTTAAAATAAATATATAACCAAAACTGTTTTCAAATTTAATTGTTTAAAATGTAAAAAAAAATATTTCCTCAAATCAATCCAGTAACTATACCCTCAAGAAACACCTAAAGGTAAATTGTCATTTTTACATTCTAATAATATTTATTTTATAAGACTGTTCATGAGTT